AGACACGCTGACATCAGCTGCCACACGGGTGATCTGCGTGACTGGCAGATCCAATGGCATAAATTGCATCCTGCGCGCACGAACGGTTCATCTGCATTCTCTCTTCAAATGCGATCGGACGGATGAGATTGATCGCGATAAACGGTCTATATTCACTCATGCAATATGCATAAATAGGCAACAATCGGACGACTCTCCTCGCTCCACGTCAACGTAAATGAACGACCAACATTAAAGAGAAAAGAGGTATTTAAACCTCTCTTCAGTCGGTCCTAAAACCCTAACCGACACTCGACAGAAAAAGAAGAAGAAGGAGGGCGGCCGGAGGGAAGACCAGCTACCGAAGGGACGCTGTTGCCGCCGCATCGGAGCCATCGCCGATGCCGAGAAAGGTAAAAAAAATTTCTTCCCTCTTGGAATTCAATGTCAAATCTCTCTATGCTTATATCAGAATCAAAAGGCTAACGGACGAGCCGAAAATCACGAGCGAAGCTCGACAGAGCCGCCGCGATCAAAATTCAAAACCCTCTCGGATGACCCTCTTCTTGTTATCCGTTTCGTGTGATTTTTTTACCATTATATTTTTCGTCTTTTTCTGGTGCAGGTTAGTCGAAGAAAAACCTCGATCGTGAAGGAGGAACGGTGGAATCGCTACACCAAGAGACCTTTCACTGGTAAGGTTTCGATTTTTTGCCATTTTCGGTCAACCAAGGCTTCCTAACTTGGTTTTTTACATATTTACATGTAAAGCCAACCAAAATCGGCATAAATCGCAAAAAGGTCAAATCGAGGTGAACCACCGTCATGGACAATAGAGTCGGTGCGAGAGCGGCAATGCTGTGCCAGAATCCTAAAATTGGTCGGAAAAATTTTAAAACGTTTATTTTAGCATTTTGGAATATTTTTAAATACGTGACGAGTATTTTAATTTTCGCAGAAAAAATTTAAGAAACCCGGAGACCGTCAGGAGGTGCAGTGAAAAGTACGTTGTTTCGGATACTGATCTGAGGTAAGAATCCCTTACTCTTTTTTCTATTTATGGTAAATTGAAGCCTAATAATCAATAACACGGTGTTTTATGAAAATTAAAACATCCAAAAATTAATTACAGGTCACTAGTGGAGACGGAACCGGTCAGTGCGTATTTGTCCTAGTTTATTGTTTATTTTTTCCTATACTGCCTAATGTGTTTACTGTTATATTGTGTGTTTTGAATTACTAGTTTTAGATTGCTTTCCTGATTATTTAGTTTACTTAACTGTATTGCCCTCATCTGTTGTTTTGTTCCTAATAAATGTTCTAATAATGATTTCTTGATTTATGTATCGTTTATTTGCATAACTTAATGTTGATTTGTGAATATGAGGTGTTGGTATATAATTGAGATTGGTTGATGACGTGAAATATATGTAT